TTCTGGGGTCCAGCAGGAAGAGAAATGGGAAACCGGTTCTAATCCATGAGCTCAGCTAAATTGGAATTCTGGCTGGGGAATTCTGGGAATTGAAGTCTACATTTCTTAAAGTTGCTGAAGTTGAGAAACTCCTCCCCACCCGATAACTGAGTCCAGTCTCAGATGTCAGACGATGTTCAAACTGAAATCAAGCCATATCCAAGTTCTGAACAAGGCCATCTCGATTTCTAACTTTCCCCAGATTATTTTCATCCTGGTTAGAGCTCTCTTCCAGAATTTTGCTAGGTCGTTAATGAAAATGTGGAAATGTGCTGGACTCTAGACCAAACCCTTTGGCATCTCTCTTGAGTAGTGCTATCGTATGTTCTCCATTAAGAGAAACGGCAAAAGCACTACTTCTCACAATATTTACAAATATAAACCACATGGCCGTACCCTTAAAATACAGCCTGAACGTCGAGGCTCCGGCTTGGGTTTTGGCTCCGGTGATTTTATTTAATTTTATTTGAAATATGAACCCGGCAAAAGAATTTCAGCCGAAATGCTTGTTCCAGTCCATTATTTTTCACCCTCTGAAGTTGTTGGGTTTTTTTTTTAAAAAAAGCAAAACGAAAAGACGTTTTTTTAAATAGGGAAGGAAAGATCCACCCGCGAAGAGAGGACTTTGTGTTTTGGCAAACTGACATAAAATGAGGAATTAATTAACCTGGGTTTTCGCTCTGCTTTTCTCCCTCCCCCTTTCCTTCCATTAAAAATGAAACAAAAAGAATAAAGTACCCCCCCCCCCCAAAAAAAATGCCTTATTAAACTGGCCGTGCCGGTAAAATTTTATACGTTTGATACAAAGCTCTCGCGTTTACTGCTCAGCTTGAGCTGATCAATATGGTTATCTACCTGTCAATTTTCTATACTCTTTAATCCCGAAAGACTGCGGGCTTGTGTGTGGATAGATATATCTTGCAGAGGTAGGGCTGATCAATGCATTCTGTGATAAAAGGGTGATTTGTAAGGCATGTAACAAAAGCTTATCATTTCCCTGTATACTGAGCCTGTCAAAATATTTTTCTTAGAAGGAATGCTGGAGAGAAGATTGCATCCTTCATGCTTTAAGTGGGTGGCGACAAATGAGGTAGAACTTCTGTTGTTGCACAGTTGCAAAACGTTGTGTAGAACAGACCTGGGCATTTTAGGGGGCCCCGGGCCACATCTGGCCCTTTAACGGTCCCTGTCAGGCCCTCGTGAAGTCAATCGTAAATTAGAAATCAAATGTAAGTAATTGTACGCTATACAAGCGACCCAATTGAATTGTTTTAATTCTGAAGGTGGCTACTATTACTTTTTCAATTTACACGTGTGCGTGCATGGGTGCCTACGAATTTTCACAGCCCTGTTGGTTCGGCCCTCCACAAAAAGTCGCAATTTCTCATGTAGTTCCCTGGGAAAATTAAATTGCTCATGCCTGGTTTAAAAGCTGATTGCTTCTTATATAGATGGTGCTCTGGGTTCAAGAGGCACATTTCCATGGATGTTGGCAAGCATGCAGCTGCCCAAACCAGCTGGGCTTTTCTTGCCCAAGAAGGAAAATGTGATGCACCTTGTTCAAGAGAAGAAGACATGTGATTGGCCCAGGTGAGCTCTTTCATCGCTTTGAATCACTCCACTGTCTCTTCTGAGACTCGCAGAAGCTGTAGAAGTTCCTCTAAAATGCTGAAGGTCTAAAATGTGGGCCTGACATTCAGGTGCTCCCTGAAGGAGCCCTCTGTGAAAATTTTAACTCCAGATTTCTTCAGAAGTGGGGGGAAATATATATATATCTCCTTCCATCCATCCACTTACTCACTCACCCACTCATCTCTCTCTCCCTCTCCATCCATCCATCCATCCATCCATCTATCCATCCATCCATCCACTCACTCACTCACCCACCTATCTCTCTCTCTCCTTCCGTCCATCCACTCACTCACTCACCCACTCACCCACCTACCCACCCACCCACCCACCCACCAATCTCTCTTTCCCTCTCCATCCATCCATCCATCCACTCACCCACCTATCTCTCTCTCTCCTTCCATCCATCCACTCACTCACCCACCTCTCTCTCCTTCCATCCATCCATCCATTCACTGACTCACTCACCCTCCCCTCTCTCTCCATCCATCCATCCACTCACTCACTCACACACACCCAATTCTCTATCTATCTATCTATCTATCTATCTATCTATCTATCTATCTATCTATCTATCTATCTATCTATCTATCTATCATCTATCTATCTATCTATCTATCTATCTATCTATCTATCTATCTATCTATCTATCTATCTATCTATCACCTTTCTGTGGATGAAAATGTAGAGGTGCATCTATGTCTGTATGTCTGTCTGTCTGTCTGTCTGTTTACATTTATACAGCAGCCCATATTGCTTGTGTGTTCAAAGATGTGTACTGACAATTAAGTTGCCATCACAAGGCAGAATGGATCCTAGGTTAAAAGCACTGCATGCTTCCATTTGAATCAGGGCTCCTGTGTTGAACTTCCTGGCAAATGCGTAACCTTTTTGAAATCTATTTACCGCATACCTCTGTTTTCTTCCTGCATTCAAGGGGTTTTGAATCCAGCAAGTGATGCTGTCATTAACCTCGGTTATACACATTGCAGGAAAACCCCTCAGTGCTCTATTCTGACTTCAATTTTCACGTTTCAATTTTTTTTAATGGGGTTGGGATTTTTTTTTTAACAGATATGGAGAGGAAACAGATTCATCTGCTTTTGCGATTTCATTATTTTCCTTGCATGCAATTATGTTCTTGCCAAACAATAGCAGTGACAAATTGCAACAGAATCCTCCAGCAGATTTTTAACCCAAGGTAAAAATAAACAGAAACATCTGTAGAGCAATCATATACAAAACTACATTCATTACCAAATACATTTTTCTAATAAAACCACCATCTGCAAGTAACCCTCAGCTTCAAATTGATAGAAATAGGCCTCTCCCCCCCCTCAAGTTTTCAGATGCTGTTCCCAGAACATTTTCCAAACTCTCCTGCAAAACACATCTGTCTTTGTTGCTCTTTGGAATGTTAATAAATAATGGTGAGGGATTTCCCCCCTTCGCCTTCTTCTTGAAACTGGTCAGACAAATTACAGACTCAAAACAATTATTCCCAGAGGTGATAAGAGAGCTGACGTTAGCCAGAAGACACTTTTGGAATATACCATTGCTTATATTTAATATTAAAAATATATATTGTTGGAGTTGAAATCAAGATTTGAGGAGTTCTGGATTGGTTCTGTTATTTTGTTCTGCTTCATTCTTGTAACGAATCCTACTTTTGCCTTCGCAGCAGGAAAAAAAACCCCCCAAAAACGAATGCTATCTTTAATTAGAAAGCCAAATGCATTGATTGCCAACACAGCCTCTTAGGAGTACACAATAAGAATAAGATATAGTGTATATAATCCAACACACACACACACACACACATACAGAGAGAAAAGACTAGGCAAAACTAAACCATAAGCTCCAAAACCACAATCTTCCTTTTAGCTGATTTATGCAAATGGAAGGCAGATAGCAAGGTGTTTTGGACATTAGCATAGGTCAATTTTTTCAAAGCATGTCCAAACTGACACATAATGTCTCAAGATCCTTGAGCATCCCTAATACCTTCTCTTTATTTATTTTTTCAGACAGACAACGCATTGACTTAATGTCAAACACCCGCAATATTTGCAAATGGAAAGAAATGTGCATTTGTAACACCCTGGTTCACCATAATTCTGCAGCTGTCCACTATTACACGTAATTCTTACCTTTCGGTTGTAAACAGGGCATTCATTGGGTCTGCAAGAACATCTTGTTCCTCATGGATCTATAGCCAAAACCAACATCTTGCCTTTTGCCACAGCCTATATTACAAATGGCTCGCTCTATCCTTTCGCTTTGGACCACATCTGTTTCCCCCACTTTTCCTTCTTGAAAATACTCAGAATGAGATTCTTAAAAGTCAGACCAGCTATGAATCATGAGAGTTAGTGAAAAGAAAGTCAGCTTCAAGAGCAAAAAATCACCACGGACAGTCCTGTTGTGCACCTAAGTCATTGCCAAGTTGACTCAACTTCCAATCCCATTTTGCCAAAAGGGCACACAATTTTATTCCACGGAAAGGCCACAGTGACCCCATCTGGATCAAGGCCACAATATGCAAGGATCGCTCTGTGTGTGTGTGTGTGTGTGTGTGTGTGTTATAAACCACCCTCCCTGCAAAGATGCTGGTGTTCTTCTTTTTACCAAAACTGCAATTAGTGCCAACAGAGAACTTAAGGAACTAGTTTCTGTGCCTGAACAACAGCTGATTGACTGTGGAGGTTCTCGGTCATCCAGGTCATGGTTGTCCCAAAGGTACTTTTTTTCAAAAGGGAACTGGACTTCGTTTTTCCTTGAAGACGTTTTGCTTCTCATACAAGAAGCTTCTTCGGTTCTGAAGAAGAACTGAAGAAGCTTCTTGGATGAGAAATGAAACAACTTCAAGGAAAAATATAGTCCAGTTGCCTTTTGAAAACAGCACCTTTGGGACAAGGACAGCTGATAAGATAAAACAAACCAGAGACTGGACAAACCCACCAATACATTTGCAATAAATCAATAAAACTGGAGATGTGTTTTCCATTTGGTTTTGTCCTATAAATCCAAGGGGAAAAAAGCAAAAGATGATAGATTGGGAAGACCAGGCGAGAGAGAGGGGGGGGGGAGAGAAGAGAGAAACAAAGGAAAGAAGGAAGGAAGAAACAAACAAACAAAGAAGGAAGAAAGACAGAAAGAAAAGAAAGAAAGAAGAAAGGCAGGAAGGAAGAAAAGAAAGAAAGAAAGAAAGGAAGGAAGGAAGGAAGGAAGGAAGGAAGGAAGGAAGGAAGGAAAGAAAGAAAGAAAGAAAGAAAGAAAGAAAGAAAGAAAGAAAGAAAGAAAGAAAGAAAGAAAGAAAAGGTAACACTTACTTCACTCATTTGAGGAATGGTAAGCTTTGGTAGTTTATTCTTAGAGCTGGATCCGGTGCTTTTCCCTTCCAGTAGACTTCCAAAGGATTGGTTTCCATAGACCCCTTCAGTTTCTATGGATGGTTTTAGTTCTGGGGAATCATTCGGGACCTGGTCCTGGCCATCCATGGGTCTAACGTACGCGGTGGGCTTCTGCTGGGTCATACTGCTTTTACAGTGGAGCCCAGGAGGAAAGTTCTGGTTGGAAAGATTGTTGGCAGCGGATAGCAAAGACGTAGAAGGAAGCGGGGACCCATGGCTCAGAAACTCAAGATCCACCGGAGACTTTGAGTGGGTGGTCTCTTTGTAGGAGTGCTCGGCCGTTGTGGATTTGGAGTGATTGTGCCTCCTTGAATGTGAAGATGAAGGTGGGGTGTTGACTTCCTCCCCTCCTCCAGTTTTCTGGGGCTCGTTCTGGCAGGGGTAGAGGTCCTCATATCTGCCTTGGGGTGGCTCATGAGAAGAGCCATGTTTGGTCCGATTGGGCTGGCTACTGGCTTGGTTCGACTGGCCACCACCAGAGCTGTGGTTGCTACGGGACCAGTCCGTCCTGTTTTTCCTGCTGCTCTGGTGGCCATTCAGCAAACTTGCATTGGATGAGAGGGAAGATGGGGGAGGCATAGCCGTTGAGGCGTTCCCACCCATCTGGTGGGATGCGACCATCCGGTTCCTTTGCTCGGGGAAAAAATTCGGCTCATTTTTGTCTACTGGGGTTTGTGGCACAGGATTCTTTGGGATGCCGACAAGGTGGCTCTGGTTGGAATGGTTGGTGAGCAGGTCCTTCATCTCATCATAGTTCCCCAGCGTGTTCTGCACACGGTTGGCAAGAGCATCGCCTTTGCTGGTCTAAAAGATCAAAAGAAACCAGGGTTAAGAAAGGTGACCCATGAACAGAGATGGGACAAAGCAAGAAAGGAGAAGATCTGACTTTTCTCAGCCAATAAGCCAGGGGTCTCCAACCTTGACAACTTTAAGACTTCAACTCCTAGAATTCCCCAGTCAGCCATGCTGGAAGTTGAAGTCCACAAGTCTTAAAGTTACCAAGGTTGGATACCCCTGGCCTAAATGCATTCTAAAAAGGACTCTGTTCCTTGGAATCTTTGCTTTCTCCTTAACTTCAGTGATGGGTGTTAAGAAACGTCTTCCAATTCCGCCAGGCCATTATTGGAATATTCCTAAGCCTTTATTTATCTGAAATATTTCTAAATCAATGTAATGGACTGAAAATGTCTCCAGGGTGTCTTAAAAGAATAAAATCACATACAATCAATGACCTATCAAAACAATCAACATTCATAAAACCAAGAATCCCTGGTTTTATGAATTAACATCCTGCTCCAGTCATAAAAAGAGAGAGAGTTGCAACTAAAACCTGGAAGAGACCATTTATTAAAGCTTATTCAAGGAATGGCTGATGTTTGCCATCACAGATGATAGACCGACTCCAGAAGGAAACCTGTCCAAAGGGTTGAGTCAACTGCAAAAGAGGTCCTTGTCCTGTCTATTAGCCAATGGCAGTGCCTTCAAAGCAGAAGTTACTTGAAAAGGATGCCCGTCAGTGATCTCAGTGTGAATACCATGGAGACGGGTGGGAGGAATCCTCTTACATTTTTCTCCTGCCAGTAACATTACTAGTGACAATGCAACTGCAACAGTGTGCATTGGTGGTGGTGGTGATGATGGTGGTGGCCAAGGAACTGGACTAAGGCCTGAAGGGAAGGAGTAGCAGAACCTGGGAGTGGAGTTAAAAGAGGAAATAGCCTAGAATCTCTACATAGTCACAAACAACTAGGTCTAATCTTCCTTTAATTCCGTGGACCCTTATCTAACTCCTAGCAGATGCTACCCATTGGTTGAGAAGATTCATGTGCATAGGCTTTTAGCAACAAATCAGTTTAATTGGACCTTCACCCTTGGACCTGATCGTTCACACCTGACAAGGTTGAAGAGAAGTGAGTTCAAGTTTCCGTTTGATTATGGAAGCTGGGTGGAGGACTTTGGGTAGACAGTTTCTTCCACTTAAGTCATAACCAGGTTAAAATGGGGAAAACACCCTTGATTCTTTTGCCTCTATGCAAAAAAAAAAAAAAAAGAGGGATAAAAATGCAGTAATAAATCAAACAGCTTCTTTCCCTCTCTATCACTATGGCGATGGGATAGTGGGTCACCAGGAAGACGGCAATTTGACTGTTTGGGTATGGACTTGATGTTTAAAAATGGAGATGTCACTCCTTGAAAATAGTATTTTGGCCCCAATGTCAACCAGCCCATCAGCCTGGCAGGTTCAAAATGATCATCTACTCCCCAACGGGGAAGCGCTGCCTACCAGCTCACCGAGAACCTTTGAGTTATCAACTAAGAAGGAAGAGACAATTGCTGGGAAATGATGCAGAGAGCTCATGCTTTCTTTTCTGTGAAAACAGTGGGGGTCAAAGTAATTGCCGACCAACTTCTTCTTCCGCATTGTGATGAATAATAGTTTCAAGTGTCCTTTTTTTGTTGTTCTGAGTTGCCCTGGACTACTAAGATTTGATTCTGGATGCTTTTTGGGCCTGCGTCCAGCTTGATTACTTAATAATTTCTTTCAAAATGAGCGTTCAGGAGAGCTTTTAAAAAAAAAAAAACATCAAAGAAAGATATAAATACAGTTGTCAGCTGTATTTGCAAAATTCAGTTGCCTTTATTTTCTGGAACCACACAGCATGTGTTTTTGCAAATCAATGATTCACAGTCACTTTCTGTAAAGCACAGCAATTATTAGGCAAATTCTGACTCATTTTTGGCATTATTGTGTTTTCATCCCCTGCGTACTTCTTACTCAATTTCCTAGGTTTTTATCTGCGGCTTCTCTTTCTCCCCCCTCTCCTTTTCTGAAAGGCCATTTAAAAGATGGGACATTTGTCTACAGATAATACCTGTGGCACATGGTTGCTGCTCAGATGAGCAAGAAAACTACATCTGAGCAATTGGTGGAACTGTGGCGGTAAAAAAAAGATGACAATTTACCAGAAGAAACACCACTTTTAAGAGATGGTGGAGGAAAAAAGGAAAGCAGTCTTCCAAAAACTATTGGATACATCATTCCTCAAAGGAATAGGTTCCTCCAGGTACGATCAAAATATATCTTATGCATCTTTGTTGGGTTTTGTCAACAAGGGAAACAAGATAATTAAGCCTTAATCCAGCCATTATTTGGCTATTGGGCATCAGAAGGAAATTGGCTTCCTTAGAATACATCCCATTTCTACAGGACAACCATGAAGGAACAACTCCTAATATTTGGCAGTTGACTCGGGAGACATTTGTCAAGGATGATGGGCATAGTGGGGAAGAGATGAAAGACAGAGCTCTGTGTGTGTAGCAGCTGCATCTTCCAAGCATCAAAAAGCCATGATGGTGCAGTGGTTAGAATGCAGTATTGCAGGCTAATTCTGCTGACTGCCGATCGCCAGCAGTTCGATCCTGACCGGCTCAAGGTTGACTCAGCCTTCCAAGTTTGGTAAAACGAGGACCCAGATTGTTGGGGGCAAGATGCTGACTCTGTAAACCACCTAGAGGGGGGTGTAAAGCAGCGTGAGGTGGTATATAAGCCTCGATGCTATTGCTATCTTCTCTCGAGATGCTGGAGAATAATGTCTAGCTGTGGATCCTGTAGAACAATTCAACCACTTTTGGGCTTCTGGTGAGGATTCATGGAGAACTAGATGTCCCCGAAGGAGCTTTGTGATGGAGATCAGCAGTGGACAGTAATCTCTGGCTGGCGCTCTCTCTCCAGGCAAAGGAGAGATGGTGAGATCGCTCATCTGCACTCTGGATAGCTGCTCCTCATGAGTAGACAAGAGGAATGGAGGTTTCTGTACTCGGTTCATGAGCTGTATGAAAAAAAGGCACTGCTTTGCTTGGTCTCAGTTCTGATGTTTGTCAGGATGATTGGATGATCCTTTTGTTTGGAATTGTATATTGTTTGCACCACTATGTTTCTGTTGGAATATCAAGTTTTGGAAAGGAGAAGATGGGAGCAGATTGGAGAAGGAAACGTGATATCTGTATGTCTTTCTTTTTTCTTTTTTTAAAAAAAGAAATGTTTCCGTCACAAGGTTGTAATCAAGAAAATGCACCCTGAAGCAAATGTTTAGAAACTTAATCAATTGTGTAAAGCAAAGAATCATACCGCATGAAGAAACAGTGTTTTGTTTGGTGCACATGGGTGGCTATCTTTCTTTCTTTCTTTCTTTCTTTCTTTCTTTCTTTCTTTCTTTCTTTCTTTCTTTCTTTCTTTCTTTCTTTCTTTCTTTCTTTTTCTTTCTTTCTTTCTTTCTTTCTTTCTTTCTTTCTTTTTTAAAGAAAAACTTAAGGAGGACATTTTGGGGGCCAAAGAGTGCATTCCATTTTACTCAAGAATCAAGTCTTTGTCGTGGGCCCACCTTCACCCACCCAATACACAATGGACAATGACCCAGCCCAGCTTTGACTCTCTCCCCCTCCTCACTTAACACAAGGAGATCTCATTGTGTCAAGGGAAGTGGGGTGGGGAGGGAGGCCAAACACTTGCTCGCTTGTTCCTCTCCTCTCTAGCCAGCCTTGCAGAGATGCTGAGGCAGCACTTGTGCAAAGAGGCTGGACAGGTGGCTGTGACTCAGAATTATTCTTCTCCAAAGAATTACCTTTGCAGGTTTTCAATTGACGGGAATTTCTGAAAAGAGAAAGAAATGGGAAAGCGTCCAGTTTATCCTGGCAGAGTCGCTGTCACAAGGACAAACAGGGCCGTGTCTTTGACCGATGTAGAGCATGAAGGTTTGGTTCATAAATAAAAAACGGAGATGGCCATGTTAGACAGCAGGGAAGAGAGACCCATTCTAAAGCAAGATCCTTATGGAAGTCAACCAAAATGCCACCAAGTAGATGGGGGCCAAGCAACATGTTCAACCCGGTTATTATGTTCAATCTGGAGGCTTTCGATAAGAGATTGGACAGCCATTTGTCCAGAATGGTATGTGGTCTCCTGCCATGGGTGGAGTTTATCTGTCTGTCTGTCTGTCTGTTTATCTAGCTATCTATCATCTATCAATCATCTATCTATCTATCTATCTATCTATCTATCTATCTGTCTGTCTGTCTGTCTGTCTGTCTGTCTGTCTGTCTGTCTGTCTGTCTGTCTGTCTGTCTATCTATCATCTACCTACCTACCTACCCACCCACCCACCCACCCACCCATCCATCCACTCACCCACCCATTTATTTTTCACACTTCTTAACTGCCTTAATCTCCCTCAAAGAGGGTTGGGCTAGAAGACCTCCAATGTCCCTTCCAACTCTATTATTCTATGCTCTATTTAATAAAGTTCTGTTTGAGGTTTGCCCAATCCATACAGGTGTACCTAAATGAGCTGTAGTCATGTAACATGCTCAGATACAACACGTTGCCAATCGTCTGCATTTTTATTGTGTAATGGTGAGGATGCTGTGAGACTTGTGTGAGGATCAGACAAAAGTTACTTTTTTCAGCACTGTTGTAACATCAAACGGTTGCTGTACAAACAGTTGTAAGTCAAGAACTACCTGTAATTTAGAAGTGTTTCTCAACCTTGGCAGCTTTCAGCTCTCAAAATTCACCAGAGTTGAAGTCCACACATCTCAAAGCTGCCGAGGTTGACAAACATTGATTTAGACAGAGGGCAGGATATTATTATCTAATGATGTGTATGTGAACATATACAGAAAACTGCAGAGATGGTCTTTGGAAGTCTTCCCATTCTTCTCGACTTACCTAGTCATAATGGGTGTCCAACATCACTGAAGACATCAAGTTGGAGAAAACAACCTCTCAACATTGGCCAACATCCCACCTTGTGGGCTTCTTGCCTATAATTTGCAGGAGTATCTTCTCCTTGGGGCCGAGGTACAATGAGCAGGAGAAGGAAGACATTGCTTTTCCTACTCAATGAATGTCAAACTTTGCTTCCAGCGTTGACTTACCTTGTATGGTTCTCCAAAGAGATTAAAGCCAGATGCAAAGAGGTCCTCATCCTGCTGGACTTCTTGATTTCTCCGCTCCCATTCCTTCCTCTTAAGCGCGCTCCGATCTTGTTCATAGTGACTGCAATTTTTATTTTATTTTTTGGGGAAAAAAGAGAGAGATACATGATTAAGCATTTACCTAAAAATAAGAAAATGTCTGTCCACTCTTGAAACTTATTGGAAACTGTAAAAAAGAAAACAGGCCGTGAAACATTTTGAACATTTGAGAAATTTAAAGATAAAGAGCAGTTTGATTCTAGAAGGCCTTAACACACATACACACACACAAACAAACACACACACACAAACCAAATAAGGAAGCAAAAATAATGGCCCAATATTTTTCCCAACTCAGATGCCCATCCTAGTGTCATTAGAATATTCCCAAATTATTTATTGAAGCCATTTGAAAGATCTGGAGACTGCACTGCAGCTAAACTCTCTATTTGTGTCACTCAACACACCGAGCCAAATCCAGCGTGGTGGTCTAGAAGTTCGCTGACTCTCGAGCTGTTTATGCTGGCAACATTTCCCAGGTTATCCAAGGCTGAAATGCTCTACCAAACCTTTTATTCCTTCCTTTCCTTTTAAGGGAAGACACTGAAAAATCAGGGGTAGGGAGGAATGGCCACATCCCCATCCAAAACACACATCTATAAAGTTCCAAGCTGAAACCCTACAACTTTCCATTAATAAAATTTGATCAAGGGAGGGAACAAAGCAGATTAGTTTGTGTTGTTTCTGAAATACTGGCCACGATCCTATCCCAAAAAATACAATTCAGTGTTGAAAAAAAAGTAAGGTTCTCTACTTAGGCTGGAAAAAAACCAGACCTACAGATATAGGATAGGCAGTCCCTGGCTTAACAGTGGAGCCCGTGAGAGGGGTCTTGGTGTCCTGGTGGACAACCACTTAAATATGAGCCAGCAGTGTGTTACAGCTGCCAAAAATAATGACAGCGCGGTCCTGGGTTGCATTGACAGAGGGATAGCATCAAGAACACGAGACATGGTAGTACCGTTCTATATTGCATTGGTGAGACCACATTTGCAAAACTGTGTCCAGTTCTGGTTGCCACGATACAAAACAGATGCTGAGGCCCTAGAAAGAGTGCAGAGAAGAGCAACAAAGATGATCAGAGGACTGGAGACTAAAATCATGGCTCTTCTCACTTGAGGGCAAGACAGGAAGCAATGGGTAGGAACTTCTCAGAGGGACATCCAATCTGGAACTAAGGAGGAATTTCCTTACAGTGAGAATGATTCATCAATGGAACAGCTTTCCTCCAGAAGTTGCGGTGCTCCATCATCAATCCAGAAAAGATCGGACAACCATTGGTCCAGGAATGGTATAAAGACTCCTGCCTTGGCCAAGATGACCTCCATGGTCACCTCCAGTGATGCTATGATTCCTGGATCATATATTGTATTAATATGGTTGGTTTAAGGTTGGGTTCATGGTCTGGTTCAATAAAACATGGCTGAGCATGAGGTCTGAATCCAGTCACTTCTTTAGATCAGGGGTCTTCAAACTCGGCCCTTTCATGACTCATGGATTTCAACTCCCAGAATTCCTCAGTCAGGCATGCTGGCTGAGGAATTCTGGGAGTTGAAGTCCATGAGTCATAAAAGGGCCGAGTTTGAAGACCCCTGCTTTAGATGGTCAAGCACCAGCCAACAGAAGGCAATGAAGATGGTTTATGAATTCAACATGGTATCTTTCCTAAGCCATCATATTAGTGGAATTGGAGCTAAACGTATCTGTAACAGCAGGACTGGAGGCTGTGTATAGATGAGCCACTTTAATAAGAGAAATTTATTTATCCAGAATATTTTAACAGTTTGGCTGTATTTTTAATTTTTTATATATATATTTTAAAAAAAGATCCTTTCTACTGCTACTGTTTCCATGTTTAATTAAATTCCACCACCCTAATGCAGCCTGACATAACTCATTACTAAAACATAATTATACAGTAAACAAGCAATATAGCATTTACTATTTCCTAGTAAGTTTTTAAAAAGGATTAATAAAAATGAAGCTCTGTAATTGCTCAAATCAATGTGGATAATTATAATCTGCCCTTTTAGGTAACGTAGAAATATAGTAAATGTGATACAAGGGCTGTAGCTGTAAATCAGTATTTTGGAAAAAAAAAAGGATTATGTCAACACGGGTCTGAGCATTTTTGTCTAGGAAAAGAAAAGAAATGGGTAACTTGATTTCAAAATTTTATCTTCCCTTTCTCCCTATCAAGTCAGGGTTTAGCTGAATTATCTTTGAAACTTCCAAGATTATTCACCATCTGCTTGCTTTCTGCAATCTCGTCTTGATTTATACAAACTGAGATCTTCTTGACCAAAGACGTTCTTGCAGAGAGAAAATAGATAGCTGGCCTCTGGGATTACCACCACGTGGGCATTTTGTAAGCAGTGGACGAGTTTAGGAGGAAACAGCAGAATGAGTTGAAGCATCTAACCACATGCCCAAGTCTTTGCTTTTCTCATGTCCTGAGTTCCAGACCAAGGTGATTTTTTTTTTAAGTTTGCATGGTTGCCTTCTTTATCCAAGGGGCTCTTGAAACCACCTCGAAGCCAATATTCATTGGCTCATTATGTAAACTATGAGGACAGAAGCATTGCTTACATCCTGAGTAGCTAAATGGTATTAAGAAGAGATTTAGGTTGGCCCCTGCCCAGCTCTCTGAGCTATAAGAGAGAAGGGAGACACAGATTTACATAGAACATAGACTCAGAAGGTTGGAACGGAACTTAGAGGTCTTCTAATCCAACCCTCTTCTCAAGGTAGGGGACCTTGTACTGCCTCAGTCAAATGACACCTCCAGTCTATATTTGAAAACCTCCGGTGATGGAGCACCACAACTCCACAAGGCAGGAGGCAACTTATTCCATTAATAAATTATTCTCACTGTCAGAAAATTTCTCCTTATTTCTAGGTTGAGTCACTCTTTAGCGAGCCTCTACCTCTTACTTCTTGTCCTGCCTTCTGATGCTTTGGAGAATCAGCCCATCATCCCCTCTTCTTCATGGCAGCCCCTCAAGTACTGGAAGACAGTTAGTACATTTCCCCCTTCCCCCCCCCCCAATCTTCCTCTTCGTTAGTTCCCTCAATCGTTCATCAGACGATTTAGCCTCCAGACCCCTGATCATCTTTGTTGCTCTTCTCCGCACTCTTTCTAGGACCTCAGCATCTTGTTTCGAATTGTGCTGACCTGCAAGATTAATAAAGTAGACTTCTTCACGTCTTCCTGAGAACCACGGTTCCAGATGTGGCCTACCCAAAGGGCTGACACCGGTGAGAACATTGTAGGATTGGAACAACAATATAAATAACTGTATGAAATGGACCACAGCCTAAGCCAAAGAAAACAAAATAGCAGCCAAGAATAAAATACCTCCAAGTCATGATAAAGCACTTAAACTTCACTGACTTCCTGATCCCCGGCCCTGGGCAACCAGCCAGGTCTTAAAGCATTTTCCGGAAGACCAGCAGAGTTGGGGGCCAATCAAATGTCAAGTGGAAAACCTTTTATATATATATATATATATATTTCTTTTGGTACGCTCACACACACAAACCCATATTCCCAGGGCCTTAGTTACTTTGCCGTTGTTTGATACACCCAGGAGTTCAGGATGACCTATGTCCAACAACAACCTTGTAAAGTAGGCCGAGCAAAGACAGAGAGAAGGAGAGATCTTGATTTATGGCTGGATTTAATTCACCTTCTAGATACGGCCCACATGCAGGTAGCGAAGAACAATATATCCCCGCGTCTCTGCTGGGGATGAATTTAATCTCATTCCAGCCCTTCCTGGCCAAAGAAAATAACCGTATCTCAACACCAGCCTTTTCAGCTCAGCAGGCCAACGTACTGAAGGATTCACACAGCGCGCTATAATGAGGAATAAGCCACGCAGCCATTGGGCTTTTGCAGCGTATAAAGTCACCGCTTTCTCACAGAAGCCGCAATTACTAATTTGAAGTGCTGTCTAATTAAAACCACAGCTATGTATTTAGCCTCTTGTTATGCCCCCTGCCGCTTTCTAATTACAGAGAACTCTTTATCTGCACAGCACAACTTTGCCGGATGCAGACAAGTTTGTATGCCAACCCGGGAGCCTGCCCCCCCCCAAGGGCAGAGGGCACCCCAAAGTCACGTCCTTGAGGGTTCCTGAGAGGCGCACACGCCTTTCTTTCCACTGGGGGACAAAAGATAGGAGAGAAAAATCACTAGGAAGGTTCAAAAGAACGTTGGAGGAAGACCTTGTTGAATTACTCAGGTTGATTGTGGTGCCAAAGACAACTCAGTTTAAATCAGCTACACCCAACTGGGCACCTTCCAGATCTGAGGGGACTTCAGCTTCTAGAATTCAAAAGGGGCAATAATCTGAACCAAAGTTAGTTCTGGTTTCAAAATCTCAACTAAATATTCTGATAGCTAAACAATTTTTTCATGGCTGTTCTGATGCTCGTTTTGGGGGGACCACTGACTTCTCTTTCTGAATGAGTTGCTCGGGTGAGCCTACACAATCACACCAGGCAGCAGGTTGATCTTTCGTTTGATGTGACAACATCATCCAATATCAGCCGTGAAAACATCGGTTAATCAGATTGGACCTCAACCAACAGCAATCTAAGTTCAATGAAGAATAACCGTGCATTTTTGCCAAGGAAGGCTGACAAAACATATAAAAGGGACTTTTTCAGCATGGCAGAAATTTGTTGCACAAAATGGTACAGAGTCCATGGCTTTGGTTATGGATGTTTGAATGTTCAGTTTTAAGTCTAGTTACAGCATTTGCGCAAACTGTTATTCCAAAACAAAGATGAACATCTCCCAGGGGTGTATCAGAGTTTCAACCTCTTCTCCAAAGCACCTGAAGTTAAGACAAGAAGCAACAGATGGAAACCAATCAAGAAGAGAAGCAATCTAGAACTAAGGAGAATTTTCCTACAATTAGAACAATTAATCGGTGGCGCGACTTGCCTCCAGAAGTTGTGGGTGCTCCATCACTGGAGATTTTTAGGAAGAGATTGGACAACTATTTGTCTGAA